CAGGAATGGGGACTCTCTTGCTCATGACTGAATCCTCAGTACTGGTAAAGAGGCTATTGCAGAGAAGGCTCTTAATAAAATTTTTTTAAACGTCTTTATTGAGCTATAATTCACACACCAACGAATTTACTCGTTTGAAGCATACATTTCAATGAGTCTAATAAATATTTTTAAATGCATTCTAGCATGCAAAGAGGTGATGGCACTGGGGGAGAAAGGTGAGAAAGCACGAAGCCTTTAGCCTGTAGATGGGCAGTGACAGGCAGAACCCCTGCCCCAGACAGTGCTTTCACTGTTCTTCCACAGGGAAGGTGACGCGGTTTCTGTACACGCCTTTCGCCTGTAGTTTTCAGTACGTTGTTTGGGCCCTAGTGGCCAGTGTTAAGGTCGTTTCTCCTGCTGAGCAGGTCTGTTTCCTGCTCCCAGGCAATGAGGGTTTTCCCTGCACTGTGTTTCTTTGCTTTCCTTGACCTGGGGTTCTTGGCATCAATTTCTCCTCATTTTGTTTTTCTTTGGGTGCCTTTATAAGTCTGGACGCTAGAAAACCCAACTTAAAGAGCCTAAATCGGGCTTCTCTGGTGGCACAGTGGTTGCGAGTCCACCTGCTGATGCAGGGGACACAGGTTCGTGCCCCGGTCCGGGAAGATCCCACATGCCGCGGAGCGGCTGGGCCCGTGAGCCATGGCCGCTGAGCCTGCGCGTCCGCAGCCTGTGCTCCACAACGGGAGAGGCCACAACAGTGAGAGGCCTGCGTACCGCAAAAAAAAAAAAAAAAAAAAAAGAAACAAGTTGATATCTTGTGTCTGCTCCCCAATGAAAGTTCATTTGTAAGGTATCCTTGTCCAAAAAAAAAAAAAATCCTGAATTCTTATGAAGCTCTGGAGCTGAATCCCAATTAACAGGAAGCACAGGATTCAAGATTGGTATGTTAAATGATTCTCAGAGATGCAATGAATGAGAACAACCCAGAATGTGGGGCTCTCTGCAGGGAAAATGACCCTGTTTCCTCAACAAATAAATTGCCAAGAGAAAAAAAGAGAGAGCAAAGAGGAACCTATGGTTTAAAATAAACTTGCGAGACATGTCAACCAAAAAAAATAGAAAGAGATAAATGACAATCACTCAGCAAATATTTATTGAGCACCTACTACATGTCAGGTACCAAACTAGGTTCTGGGAATACACTGATGAGCAAGATAAACACAGTCCCTGCCCTCATGTAGCTCATGGTCTATAGAGAAAGCATCGTGGGAGTTCAGAGGAGAAAAAGAGAAGAATATCCATCTTTGAGGCTATAGGGAAGAACAATCTCCTTCCACTCTCTGTTCCATTCCTAGTAGAGCATCATCCTTGTGGAGAAAAAAAGGGGGAAAGGGACTTCCATGGTGGTGCAGTGGTTAAGAATCCACCTGCCGAATGCAGAGGACATGGGTTCGAGCCCTGGTCTGGGAAGATCCCACGTGCCGCGGAGCAACAAAGCCTGTGTGCCACAACTACTGAGCCTGCTCTCTAGAGCCCACGAGCCACAACTACTGAGCCCGCGTGCCTAGAGCCTGTGCTCCGCAACAAGGAGAAGCCACCGCAATGAGAAGCCTGCGCACCGCAACGAAGAGTAGCCCCCACTCACCGCAACTAGAGAAAGCCCTTGCACAGCAACAAAGACCCAATGCAGCCAAAAAAACCAACCAACCAAATAAATAAATAAATAAATTTATTTTTAAAAAACGGGGGGGTAGGAGAGAGGAATACAAACTCTCAAAAGAAATGATCAACTATACCTCAATTTAAATAAATAAATTTTTTTTAGAAAAGAAAAGTAATGAAAGGTGGCATCTCTTCGTTCAGCAAGCATTTGGAGAGAGGATTCAAAAATAACGACAGGGTTTGGACTGGGATAGACCATTAAGGTTCCTGGCAACCTGAGATTCTAGTCCCTGTCCAACTTTTACTAAATAATCCTCGAGCATGAAGTGCCAAGCACTGAGCTAGACCCTGGAAATACAGCTGTAAATGAGCCACATTCCTTGCCCTCCAGTAATTTATAGTCTAATGAGGCAGACAGACAAGAAATTCCCGTACCATGTACTAAGGCCAGTGATAAGATGAAGCACACAACGAGATGGGCCACTAGGTAGGCTGGGCCCAGATGGCAAGTGACATCTACACTGAGCAGTGACACAGGACAAAGTGGAGTCAGAAAGGGGGTGGAGTGTGGCATGCGATCCAGGTTTGAGCGAACAGTTTGTACAAAGCCCTGGCAATGAGAGACCCTAGGATTGAAACAACACTGTGGTTTAAGAGTTGTGCCAATCAACACCACTAAATGGCTGGCTATATTGCTAAATTCCTCACTGCTCATTCCCAAGTTCAGGAAGGGTTCTGAGCATGGGCACAACCTAGGGACAAACTGAGAAAGACTCTTCATTTGATAACCCCCAGAGCTCCAATCTGACTAGGCTAGCTTAGTCCACCATCAACACTTCACTGTGGGTATTTATATGCTTCTCCTGTCATTCACTCATTCTGTCAATCAGCAAGCCCTGTGCTAGACTCCAGAAGGAGAAGAGGGCTCCACCTGGCTCCCCTGGGAGGAATGGGGAGTGTCCTCCACATCTCTGAATCCCACACCGACTCCAGTTCAGTGCTTTGCATACAGAGGTACCACTGAGTCTACTCAACATAGAAGTAAAAGCAAAACTCATCTGATGGCATAATTACTATCTCAACCCACGTCCTCCACATTTCCAGCCCCTACCCCCAAACCTTCTACTGCTTCACATCTGGGCACTTCTCCCCACTCTTTGAACTCTACCTCTTGTAAATGCCACGTTGCTCAGCGCAGACGCAAGTGTAGCTTTGTAGGTAAAAGCAGAAGCTTCGGATTCACAATAATCGGGGTAGAATCCTTTTATTACCGTTATGATACTGAGCAAGTCACTCACCCTGCGGCAGCCTCAGGTTTTTTTGTCCGTAAAATGAGAATAATAACAGCTCTTTCACTAGGGTTCGTTGAATGAATGCAACTGGGCTGAACTGAGTAGTAAATGGCACAGTCAATGTAAGGGTATTATCATGTTGCTTGGCATATATAATGCACTCAATAAATGGCGGCTGTAGTAGAATGTTGTAATGATGTATAGTGTGAGGTAGATGATGATGATATTGATGACGACGATGATGTAGGACGGCCGGTTGTTCGTCGTGTAATTCACTTTCTGGAGTCACAGCAACCCCGCCAGCCCACACAGCTTCCAGCGGCAAGCCTGGGATCCACAGTCCCTCCGGACTCGGTCCAAGCCCAGACCTCCCTGGGGAGCGCCAGCCTGCGTCACCCGCCCAGCCCTCGGGCTCCTCCCCAGCGAGCCCACACATGGTGGGAACGTGAGGGGGCGGGGCCAGACTGGGCGCCTCAGAGCCAATCGCCGGGCGGGAGGCGCCCAGCCAATAGCAGATGGGCTCCAGGTACAGGGGGCGGGGACCCAGAGAGGAACGGAAGCGTCATAGGTCACTGGGCGGGCTGGGGGCGGGGCCCGCGGTGTCTATGGGGGCGGAGCAGCGGTGGCCAGAGCAGTCAGGGCGGTGATGGCGGCGGCTGTGGCTACCACGGCAGTGGCGGCCCAGGCGCCGGCGGCCCGCGCGGAAGGCGCTTCCTCAGTGCACTGGTTCCGCAAGGGGTTGCGGCTCCATGATAACCCGGCGCTGCAGGCGGCCGTGCGCGGGGCGCACTGTATGCGCTGCGTTTACATCCTCGACCCTTGGTTCGCGGCCTCCTCCTCAGTCGGGATCAACCGATGGAGGTGAGGGGGCCCGGGGCGGGTTCGCGGGTCCGGGGGACGCAGCCTGGCCTCTGGGGCACCCATCCTCGGAAAGGGAGGCTCTGGCCCCCAGTCCCCTCTCCCGAAAGACCCCGGCCTGAAGGAGGTGGGGCAGGGGGACGGAGCCGAGTCTCCAGAGGGGAGAAGTCGGGAAGAGGGAAGCAATTAGTAATAGCCTGGGTGGACCAGGGCTCAGCTTCTGACACCGCGCGCTCTCACTGCGTGTTATCCTCCTTGGTCCTCACGACATTCCTGTGGGACAGAGCATGATCCCCATTTTACAGATGAGACTCTTGAGCCCTAGAGACACAAAGTTGACGTGCTCAAGGAGTTGCAGCCAGTGAGAGGCAGAACAGGGACTCCTTGTCTAGGGCTCTTAGGGGTGCACTGGGGCGGGGGGAGGGGGAGGACAGGAGCTATTGTGGTGTGAGGGCAGGGATGGGTTTCTTTTTTTTTTTTTAACATCTTTATTGGGGTATAATTGCTTTACAATGGTGTGTTAGTTTCTGCTTTATAACAGAGTGAGTCAGTTAAGGGATGGGTTTCTGAATTGATAGCACGGCAGATGCCTGCGTTCTTCAAGTAAAGAGCGCATTGCTGTGCTCATGAAGGTCATCTGTAAGCCTGTGGTTTGTTTGAATCCATTTTTTCAACCATCCTGCCTTCCCTCCACCAAGATCATGCTGTTTCTGGAGGCGTCTAGAGACTCTGGTTTAGCATTAGATAGGGCAAGTGCTGTCTCCCCTTCATTATAGATAAAGACCTCAAGGGCATGTTCAGTTAGAGGCACTTTGTATCCGGAGCTGGAGAGCAGAGAGCAGTACTTAATCCATTTTGGAGAATTCCCTCAGCAGCTGTGGGCTTGCTAGAGGAAAAAAAAAAAAAGGAACCAAAGTGTCCCTTCCTCCTCTTCTCATGAGATTGTTTTTAAAGGACGGTTGAGCCATTATAGATTCGATTTTTATCAACTGATGTACTAAGATTAGGGACCAGGAAAGCTGTGATAGCAAGGGTCCCTCTTTGATGATTCCCAGGAGATGAAGTGGACAGGATCATGGGAGAAGATTAACAGATAGGTAGTTGATGGGTTTTCTCTTTAACGAGTATTTAAAACCAAGGAGTTCTGAGACATTGTGTTCCCATCTCTCTTTAACATGCCCCTCAGTAGTCCTTTGGTTTGTTTGCGTTGTTTTGGAGCATGTTTGCTTGTGACCTTGTTGCTCGAGAGGCAGGGTTATTCCCAGGATATGCTGGCTCTCCACCATTCTTTCCTCACCAAGGTGTGTGTGCCCTGCTAGGAGAGTGAATGTCCCTAGCAGTGGATCTATTAAATGCCCCCCTCCTGACCCATTTATATTGAGGGAACAACTAAAGATAGTCCTGTGGAGAGCCTGCCCACACAATTTTCAGCTGCTCTATTGCTCTGCCTCTGCTTCAGTTTCTATAGATAGGAGGTTGGGTTTGACAAACACCCTCAAATGACTGGCCATCCCTAGCATGGACTAAGCCTGAGACTTTGCCCCTCTCCCAGTGGCAGTGTGCCAATCAGAGCAGAGTAAATGGAATCCAGACTGCTTGCTTGCTGCGTTGTCACGGAGTTTCTCCTTTTTTGGGGTTTTGGAGGACATTGCATAGGACTGCCTACTCCTTTGTGGTAGTGGAAATTACAGATCAACAACAAAACTCTGTTGCAGATTAAACTCAGATTCGCTAGAACCTAGGAGTTTTGTGGGTCACCCTTTTGTGATTGTGCTTTTGAGTGAGTGAGATAGAAAAGGAATGTGGCAGTTCAGATGCCTGTGTCAAATCCTGAAGTCAGAGGCTGTGTAGGAATGCAGATGTTAATTGAGCAATTATTTAATGAGTTCCTAGTATCTGCCAGGCACACTGCTCTAGGTGCTGCTAGGGAAATAGCAGTGAACAAGCAGATGTGGTGTCCAGAGCTCCTGGAACCTACGTTTGCATGGCGCAAGACAAGTAAACAACCTTAATTTAGTAGAACTAATGCCATGAAGTAAATAAAATAGGGGGACAGACTAGAGCAGTGGTTCTTAACCTTGCTGCACATGGGAATCATTTAAGGTTCTTTAAAAGATGTCTGGGCCCCCTTCTCTCCCAATTCTGATTTTATTGTTCTGGGTTATGGTCTGAGCATTAGGGTCTTTAAAGGTGTGATGTGCAGCAAAGCCAGAGAAGCACTGGACTAGAGAACCCCAGACCTGAGCCCGACAGCTTGGGATATGTATTGCAGTGCATTGGCAAGAAGTCTGATTTGTTTTGGCATCAGAAGAAAGAGGTGAAATCACACAAAACAGACCAAATAGGATAACTGCTCCTGGGGCTGGGCACAGACACATTCATACCACCCCCGCCATATGCTTTGCTCCCAGGTTCAGAGCGAGGGCAGAACTGCAGACTGTTTTATGCACTCGATTGGGTGTTAGGGGGAGTGGTGGAGCCAGCTGTACCTCTGTGTAACTACAATATGTGTAATCTTCCAGTGGCTGTTTCTGGATCTGGAAGTGACCTGGGAGAATTGTGCTGCAGCGTAACATTCTAGCTCTGTAAATATTTCAGTTGCTGCCTCTGAGAAGCCTCCCTCAGAAGAGTGGGCCCTGGGCCATCTGCAAGAGTTTGGGGGAACCAAAATCTGTATCTCTGTTATCCTCCTGCACTTCCTACACTGACTCCCACACAGCGTTTTTCAGCAGATAAGTCAGATTCAAATAACCATGAATGGCCCTTCCTAAGAGTAAAAGTGGACAGTGAAAGGCAACCAAGAACCTGTACATTTATTAGCATAGGAGAAGGGCTTGCATACTCCTTGCCTTGGTGGTAGTGGGAAGTTTATAGGCTAATTGTAGCATTTGAGCCTCAGGACATTTTTTTGCCAAGCACTAGTTAGCTGAACCCTTTGCCGTTTTCCCCAGCCCCACCTTCCCCAAATTTACTGCGTCTAGAAGGAAGTGTACTGTAGTGAGAACCAAAACAAAAGAGGGGGTGTGAGCCTCTTCTAGATTTAAAAATGGCCCTTGCAGTTTCTCATTACCTTTCTTTCCCTACT